ACCATTGAGGCTCATGGAGTCGTACTGCTCCGTCTGCAGCGGCTCCCGGTAGATGATGGGGTCCAGCCCGGAGAAGTCGGACACGGTCCCGGTGAAGAGTTCGCCGTCTGCAAACACAAGACAGTTTGGAATTAAAAACAAAGATCAAGAGAGCGCTCTCGAGCGCGGCCAGCAGCAGGGCGCCTTGCATATCGCCATAGCATGCGGACGGTGATGGAGTGCGCGGTGATGGCGCGGGACAGACCGCGCAGACAATCCCCTTTCTTCCTATGTATAATGTTACTCCACCCCCTCAAAGTAATTCAACCCTTTTGCTGCCAACCCCCAACCGACTAAAAAAGCAAAAACAAAAATATGATGAGCACACGGCTGCGGTCCTAACTGCCCCCTACCCTCAACTCCCCTCTTCCAGTCCCACTTCTTCCCCCTCTCCAGCCGGGCGGGCAGCCGGGTCATTCCAGAAACTTGCGAAGCTGGAGAACACACCCAACTCGGCTGCTGCGGCGCCCGCCGGCACATCCCAGCAGGCCCGGCGGCCCAAGGGGGAGAGGGGGAGAAAGGGAGGAGGGGGACTCTTAGTAGCGGATTTATTTAGAACTGCGTGCGAAAGGCAGTAAATCATGGCAGGAACTGCCGCCACCCGCCGCCACCGCCCCGCCCCCCCTGGAAAAGCACTGCGCTCCGCTGCTGGGGGGCGTCGGAGGGCACAAGAGGGGGGGGATGTAAGGTGGCGGGGGAGGGAGGTGGGGAGTACTCATCTCCCGAGCATAAGGATCAATCTACGGCAGGCAGAAGGCAGCAGCAGCATGGGACCTCCACAGGGGGGCAAGTCCCCGCCCCGCCCTGTCGGGCGCGCGCGCGCTTGGCTGCGCCTTGTTTTTGTCGAGAGGGACGAGTGGAATGGCTTTATTTGCGCCTAGGCCTGCGTCCCCCAGCCAGCCCCACCCTCCACTACACGGCCTTGGGCCTTTCGGGCCGGTCTCTGGCTGACAGAATGCATGTGGATAAACACGCTTTTAAACTCGCATCAACTTTCCCGAGGCGCTCCGCTGCTCGTCTGCCTACGCCGCCACCACAGCCGCCGTCAGGATAAACGACGCCGATTATTCCCCCCCCCCTCGCTCCCCCCTTTTCTGCCCTCATCGTTTGTTATGTACGGTGGGGCGATAAAACTACCAGCACAACGCCGCCGCGGCCGTGACACTATCGCGGCGGCGAGCGGAGCCCAGGGGCGAGCCCGTCGCGGGTTCAAACCCCCCCACCCGCGTCCCTCGCGACCCACGCGGCCCTGTCCGACATGCGCGCCAGTTTTCTGTGACACGGCTCACAGTTAAGGGTAAGAAATTTTGAAATCCTACGACGTCTATCCACGTCGCTCATTCCGTCACATTGTTGGAGAATTTCGTCATTTTACGATTATAATATGTCACGAATAGTTCGTAATTGAAATTAACAAGTACTATTCGTCAATTTCGGTTACGAAACTGTTCGTAGTGGTATAAAAAAAACTATTCGTTACATAACGATTTAATAGTGCCAATTGATCAGGATGTTAGAATGTTTGTTTCAAAAATTATTGCGTCTAGGATTGTTCTCTTAGGACAACAACCGAGCTACAAACTGTTCGTCATATTACGAATGTATTCGTTACTTAAAAGTAACGAAGAGTTTGTGAAGAAAAACAACAGTACATTTTTCGTAAGATTACGATATAATTCCCAACAGTGCACATGAGAAGCGATAGTCTCGCTCTGATCGAGTGTGAGGAATCGGTGAATCATTCCACCCATGAGTTTCTGAGAAGTACGTAAGCTGTAGTACGATGTTTCAGATTATTCAGAACAGAAAAGAATCGGTTTATTTTTGGAATTATCGAGCCTCGGCCGACACGTCGGCGGGGTTGTACCGTGACTTGTATACTCACCGACATACACGGCCGTGCTGTTGTGCTGCGGGTCGTAGGGGCACAGCGCCACGCCGAGCTTCTCCTTCTCCATCGTGTAGGTCCCGGTCTGCAAGATGAGAGAGAGAGAGAGAAACAACAGGGATGAGAAGAGGGCTTGATAACAACATCACAGAAGCTTCCTCGGCTTGCCTTTTCTCTGCTGGAATTTCCCCCCAACCCAACCCCCCTCCAAACGACCCTCTCTGTCGCACTCGAACCTACCCTCCTCCCCGCGGCCCCCTCCGTCACCCCTAAATTCACTACCCATCCCTCCTCCCTTCCTGTTAAACGAAGAGCCCCCCTTAATGAGGCTGGCGAAGCAGGAGGGGACCGGCCGGGCGGGGGCGGCGTCGGCGGCGCGGGGGCGGCCGGCCCCCAGAGACCACCACGGCAGCAGCACCAGGCCGGTGGCGGTCGGTCCCCCGGGCCGCCCCCACGCCGCCCCCGCACGCCGCCCCCAGCACACCGATACACTTAATTACCCTCATACTGACCCTAAAGCAATAAAGTCCCCTCCGATATCTTCATGGCATGGCAGGCGAGGCCAGGCGCCAACACTTTCTAACCCCCGCACTCCACCACTCCCCCACCTTCCTCCTGCACTACCTACAGAGTCTCGCCACAGCACAGCGCAGCGAACCAAACTGGCGCGAGTATAATGAGGTCCGCCAGGACGGTTTACCTCATCAGTTGCTCTAATCCTTTTAAATTTCGCAAATGCAACACACGAAACTCCCATCATCTGTTCCTATGAAAGTGATTTGTGTTTGAACTATTGCGTAAACTAATTTGTGGATAAACGCACACGAGTACGCAAAGCATCACGATCTTTGTATCGGAGTCACAAGTAATTATTTCAAGTCTAGCGATCGGTAACTATTCGAGCGACGCGACGTAGGGCATGTACACTGATAACATTTTTGGAAATTCTTGATGTTCATATCTCTTAAACGGCTCGAGTTGAAAATAGCTATAAGCTATACATAATATTTTTTTTTCATAATTACCGTTTTAGAGATATCAACACTATTTTTTTAATGTTAAGTTTTCCGAGGGGGAAATCACTAGCGTACTCTCGTACACCCAGGCCCGTACTAAAGACGTACTCTAGTAGTGCACTGAAGTGTACTAACGTACTAACTCGTACACTTTGATCTGGAGTGATTCCTCCCTCGACGTTTTCATGCCCTACATAGACGGACAGATGGACGCTGCATAGGCAGCGGCGGCGGCGGCGGCGGCAGCACATACGATGTGCAGGACGAGTGCGGGGGTGACGATGCCTCGGCCCCCCCGCAACGCACAAAGCACAAAACACGGGGCGACCGCGTCGTCCCGCGCGCGACGCATTTCAAACAGAAATCAAGCGCCGCCACAACAACACAACAAGCGCACGTCGCTGTGTTATTTCCCCGTTCGGTTAAGAGGGGCAGGCGAGCGGGAGAGGGACGCGGTCGCTACAATGTGCGCGCTTCGAAAGAGGAGATCTAGGAGAGAGAGCGGCCAGCGGGATGCATTTAACTGTTGATTGTTCAGGACAAAGCGGCGCTGCTGGGGCTGTAAAACAATGGAAACAGATTCCAGCGCGATCGACGCGCGGCGCGGCAGGGCGGCGGGGCCGCGCGGTGCCACAGCGTGGCGCGGCAGACACATCCCCTGCTTCCCCCGCTCCCCAGCCGTGTTCCCCCCTAAACCACAATTAATTCGGGGCGACGTTCCGGAACACGTTCGCCCGAGATTTCCGATACGGTCCTTTACGCCCGGCTGCAGCCGCGCCGCGCGAGCGCCACTCTGTGACTACCGGCCGCGGCTCCGCGGGCTCGCAAAACTGCTTCTAGGCCTAGTGCTCAAAAACGTAAAAATGTCGGTTGTCTCATATATAATGAACCAATCATTATGGTTAAAGATCGGTGTAAGGTTTATCTTTCTAAAGAATAGAGCCCCCTTCATTGGCGAAGTATAACGCACATGTTGAAATCAATTAATCCAAAAACTTCGGCAAATGTAGCCACACCGGCAGCCACGCAATCTCAGTTTTGAATTTCCAGAATATTTCCTGCGCTTTCCTCCTATGACCCGACCTAAGCGGACTTTATGACTCAACAGCAACCTTTCATTATCCTATCAGCATGTTTCCAGGTAAAAACTCTATACTGCTGTAAATAGTTCATATTGAACAACGTGCTTTTTTACTCACCTTTACAGTGTACTCCCTGCAGAGCGGTTTGAAGGAATTGGTCCCGCAGAGCAAAAGGCGACCGGGGGCCGTCCTCGTCAGAATCCGAATGTAGTTCTGACACGACTCCTGCGAGAGAGACAGATACACCGAGATGAGCGTGTGGCGGCGAGGAGCGTAAATGATGGAGTAGGAAAGAGAGAGAAAGAGAAAGAGGGGGGAGGGCACTGACGGGGTGGTCGAGAAGAGCGAGAGAGAGCAAGAGGAAGGAAGCGGGGGAGGCTGTCGCGTTAATCCGACTTATCTGCGGTAACGAATGGCCAAAGTTGTTATGAGGTGATGAGGGCAGACGGTGCGGTGTAGCTGGGGCGCCATCTGTCACGTGGGGGTGGGAGAACCTGGAGGGGCCCGGGGGAAACCTGGGGGGACACGGGGGTCCTCTGCGCAACCCGTCCCAGCGGCACGGCAGGTGGGGGTCACGTCCCAAAATAAAAGTGTCCGACACTTTGACAGAATCCCGAATGCTGACGGTGCAATGGTGCTCAGCAGTCCGCGCAGCATCACTGCTGTCCTGAGAGGAGCATTTTTTTAAAAAATATTTCTTTAAGAATCGCACTAATTATGTGACAAATTGCACGTTAAGCAGATTTTGTCTTTGAAATCAAATCTGATATGAAGCAAAAACAATCTCTGATAGCTTTCCCATTTTATTTTTATTTTTTTGGACCAGGGGGTAGTATTGCAGTGAGGGGCGTGGCGCAGCGGCTACACCCGGGATGGACGACACTGCTGCACGCCACAACAGCCGGGGGGTGCTCTCTCTTTCTCTCTTTAACACACACATACACAGAATAGTAGCACTACTCACCTCGTCCTTCCCCTTGACGATGCACATCTCGATGTCATCCGGCTTCGAGAACCACACCAACCTCTATGAAACACAAAGAGAAAAACACACCAAGGATTAGTCAAGATTACAAAACAGACAATGAACGGCCATACGAGACTATAACTCTTAAAATGAACAGCCTAATGACAACAAACACGTCCCTTGAAACATTAGACCGCAAAAATGTTTCATAGGCAAAGTTTATACTTTTCCAATCCTTCACAAAGATGTCACGCGTATCGCACCTTTCTTGGTATGTTATAGTATAGTTGTACTAGGAAAAGGATTTTATTTTTATTTTTGTCGGGCACTTTTTTGTCAAGTTGAGGGTGGCACATATTTTTGCTTGCAGCGTAACGGGGGTAGAATTTTAAAAACCGTCGGGTGTTGGGCGGCGCCTGATTGTCTGCTGTTTCCCTTTCCCCCCGCTTCCCTTTCTGGAGGGCCTTGAAGGCCGCGAGGCTCGTACAGTCGCGCACTTTACGGCCGAGGCGGGCGGGGACGGCGGGGCGGGTCTGAAGCAGCTCGGCACCAATAGACTAATTTCACAAAATTTAGCGCGCCGACACAAAGTGCGCAATTTATGCGACACGCCTACTTGTACCGATAACGATGCAGACCCCACCTCTTCCGCGGCCATACGCCTCGCCACGCCCCGCCACGGTCCGCCACGCTCCGCCTGCCCCAGTGCGAGAATGCAAGGGGGTGGGGGGTGATATATACATGGAGCCTGCCCGAAGCCACACGTCCCTCAGCGACGCAATGGCCGGAAACCATGCGAGAGCGCAGCCTTTATACGAAAAAAAAAATCTCTATTATGGATTTTGTTTTACATTTTAAGAAGTGCAAAACTGCCTGGCCATACGTCATACTACTCCCAGCTGCAAAATGTCTGGCGACCAAAGACCGTTCGCTCCAGGCAACGGTCTCCAGGAGCAGCAGGCCTCTCCCTCCAGGCCAGGTGTCTCCTCCCCGGCGCCGCCCCCCGAGCCGCCCCAACGCCGCCCCCGTGACGCCCGCAGTGTCGGCGCGGCCCTCCCTTAAGAATTATGCTAACTCGATTACATCTCACCCTTTCTCTGAGGGCCCCTAGCCCCCGATCTCCGTCTCCCTCCCTCCCTCCCCGTCCTTCCACTACCTCTCCCTCTACTCCTCCTTCTTGCTCATTCGGCCTCTGTCTGCTACGACGCTTGTCCCTCTCCGAGAACGAATTATGTTAACTTCATTTCCTTTGCGGCTCTAGAGC